TATATATATATATATATATATATATATATATATATATATATATATATATATATATATATATATAGGAATGTTTTATTTTATTTCAAGGTCAATTGAATTTGCATAGTTGTTTCATTCATTAACTTTGCTTAGAAAAATAAAACACAGTAGTTCAGTACGAATCTGGTTTTGTGGAAGAATCTAAACGGAGCTGTTCAGACCTTATCCACAGGCCATGAAGAGCACATGCCAGGTACAGCAATGGAGGGATGCAGGAAGAGGGGGCTGGAGCTCCTCATGGTGAAGCGTTTTAACCATGTTGTGAGACTCGAGGTGAAAGAGAATCGGACACAGCAAAAAGCGAACAGGACCTACAGGGGAAAACGAGGGGCCAGAAAGAGCCCCTAAGTTACACATACAGAGGAGAGCGGATTGGATAATGAATGTGTATTTACAGGGTGGGGGGTCAGACCACCACATGCTCGCCGATGGAGGGAAGTGGGGGAGGGGGTAAGAGTGAGGGAATCAATAGCTGTTTTCACACATGAACTCTGGACATTGTCAGTAGAATCAGGTCCAAACATTTTGCCCTTTCAGACGTGTAACACACAACCGGATGTTGTGAAATTACACCGACTTTGTACTAGGAAGCTGGCTGAGTAAACTCCATTTAATGTCCAGTACGACTGATTTGGACATTTACGTTGACACGTACAGCCCTTCCAGGGAATGTCAAGAAAACTTCTGGGTGGCAGTGTATGTCTCAAAGGGGCTAAAGTGACAGCTGTTCATACTGACTTACTCTACAGCAGGCTGCAGAGGGCGCATTTATTCCTGTTATATATGATGGCTTGTCATAACTTGTCCAAAAAAAACTTGGTTGATTAATTTTTGTTTTGTTCAAATTTCTTTTTTGTGAGAGTGGGAGGAGCTTCCTGCTTCTCAGGCTGCAGTAGGTGTGGCTTTGGACTGAGGTCAGACTGAGAAGAGCATTAAATTTGCAGTTTATCAACAAAATAGTACTTTATATGAATTGTACCCACAGGGAACATTTACTGATTGATTGATGAAACCCTTTATTGCTGTTGCAATACACCATGTCACTAGTCACAAGTACCAGCGAAAAAACTGGCCATCAACCTGATCATACATATACAAACATCACATTATAGGGGGTAGACAGGTCAGGAAGACATGGGATATAGGAAGAACAGAGAAAACAGAATTACATGAGGAGAGAGGAGGAGAATAAAAAAACAGCCCCCAGACTGTACTCCAGTAGGGAGTAACAATGTAGGAACAGAAAAAACACCTCAACAACATAAGCACATAGTCACTACACCTTACCACATAAAAAGTCGTGACTTGCAACTAGGCATGGAACGGTATAAGATTCTGACGGTATGATAACCTTGGATAAAAATATCACGGTTTCACGGTATCACGGTATTGTAATTACTGCTCTACAATGTTATATTTAAATGTCTGGGTAAAAAAACAACTTTTTTTTCCAGCTGAACATAGTATATTTTATTTTAGGAAACATATAGAACATTTTGTAA